TGTAGTATATACTGAGTAACATAGAAATCTGGATGGCAACAGCAACATACACGCTACAAACTTGTTTTGAACAATCACAGAGAAATATACAAAACCCCCGGACATCAAACCGATATTGTTTATTGTTACCTATGGTTTAAAAAGGTATTTCGATTCATCATAAAACGAATTCAAGCAACTTTGAAAAAATACAGAAAGTTTTTCAGAAATTATAGTAAGAAGTCAAACGTAGTAAACAGATGATATAATTAGTTAAATAAAGTTTGCATAAAACATTTATATTTATCACAAGGAAACGTCAGGCTGCTCTAAAGATGATTGCAAGTCTATATGGACATTGAAATATTGAATTGTATGTATGAGAAAATATAACCAATTATCAGAAGTATAATTATTTTATAGGTTCATTTAAGTTTACCCAGTAAACAATAGTCTTGTTGGCTATGTTTCTGTTATAGTCTAACTCAAGCTAGAAGGTTGGACATGATATATGATTACGGAATATATAGTTTACGGTCCTGAGGGAATCTAGCAACTTTTTTTTGTTTATTACTAGTTGCATGTGATATGAATATCTATCCTAGTAACAGAATTAACTGTTTGTGAAAATAACAAGTTATTTCCACATGTATTTTACAAAGATACTACACGAGCCGGTTATATCACTAAAACGATAAAATCCGATTGCTTAGTATTTTTTCCCCTTTCTGTTCATAAGTAGATATATGAGCATGATATTTCACACCACATTCTACACGTACAGAACAAAACAAAAAAGCAAGCTACGCAAAATAAGACAAAATTCATCAAGATGTAAGTACACCAAGACTGAACTGAGTGGGTTTTAGTAGTTGAGTAAACTAAACTTTTATATTTTTAGCGACACATTCATTTCCATACAGTTCTTGTAATAGGATCCTCCAGATGACTTTAGAAAAACCTCAAAATCCTTATAATTCCCTGATGCATATAAACATATATTTTCACGTGCGTTAGGAACGTTCCATAGATTTTATTATAGGCTTCTCTTCTTTCTCTCAATGATTATAATAGTACTACTGTTTTCTCAACTTCAAGTAGGACTACTCACCATTTTCTCTCAAAAACAAAACTCATTATTGTTTTTACATTGTGAAAATTGTGTAATGTTTAAAAAGAACGTTATATAATCATAATGCTATATTGTTTTGTCAGTAATTATAAGTAACAAACACGTTTTCCCTTCACGTTTAGCACGCGTTTAGGGACCTTCAGTTGTTACTCTAAATGTTCTTGTCCCCGTGGTACATGTTTGTAAACTTGTGATAACTGAAATTTCTAAATGGTTCCTTTCAAGCAGTTCTTGTCTATATACTGTATTGAATTTTAGCACAAAAAACAAACATTTCATATTTTGCATATTACACTATTTAGACTTTAGCAGATATGTATATCTGCTGGATAAGAATATTCACGTTTACCACATCAATATATTAAGTCTAGAATTTTTACTTCTTTAATGTTAAAAATTCAAAAATCATTCTGCTACTTCACTAGTTCAAGAAACTTAAAGGTGAACGAGAAAATAACTTACATCACATTTGTTTATTTATATACTGCGTATTTGATAGAGTAAGTTGCTGAATGACAAACAGTTCTTAAGAACGTTCAACTGTACAATGAAAATATTTTCATAAACAATGAATGAGAGTTGAGGATTAAGCATAGTGAGTTATAAAGTCTTAAGCTGAAACTTTTATTTTGATTTTCTCTTCTATTTTGAAAATAATATCATAAAGAAAGTATCTCTGACACTTAGAGGGTTCTACTTTCACAAATTTATCTTGTACATTTAAAGTTAGATGATATTAAAATGATTTCATTGTTATTTTTTTTTCTAAGTTGTTTCTCTGGTAAGACATGTTGACTTTATAGCACGTTTAATATACTATTATTCTATACCTCGTAATACACTTGTTTTTGCATTTCCTTTCAATTTCTATTGACTTTTTGTTATAACAGGTCTAAAATGACTGAGAGTTGCATTTTTGTAAAGGCATAAATCTACTTTGACTAGGGACTTTTCTCGCCCTAAACATTCAGCAAAATACGTATTTAAAGTTTTAAATCCTCAATTTCGAAATCAATGCAGTAGCTATAATACAATACGTCAATTATCTAAGTATTAAACAAACCTTTTTTTCAATTTTATGTAAGCTTTAAACGCATAATGTTAAAAATCCAACTAAAGCAAGCCCGAGAGAAAGCTTCAATTGATCAATTGTTAAAGGTGTTGCAAACCAATTTGGTATATTTCGTACTTCAGTTCTTTCTTTAAGATAACCTATATGTTGAATAACGTTTAAAATCACACAGATTGTTTATTATAAGTCCAACAACGTAGTTGAATTCCGTAAAGTTACCACACAGGGTGTATGTAACAATGTTATCTTGAAATCCTACTTAAAGCATGCTCAGAAAATGTCTGGTTGTCAGCATATTTACATGTAGAACAAACTCTGTCCTCTCTGTTTCTGTTCCAACACCAGCAAATCATTTTTCATTGCCTGAAACATTTTTATATCAGTAAAGTTTTAAAACTATATCGATAACAGTTTCAGATAACATATACCAGTAACGTTTCTAGATGAGTAACAGTTCCAAACACAACATATCAGTAATGCTTCCATATCAGTAACAGTTCCAAACACAGCATATCAGTAACGCTTCCAGATCAGTAATAGTTCCAAATATAGTATACCAGTAACGTTTTTAGATCAGTAATAGTTCCAAATACAGCATATCAGTAATGTTTCCAGATCAGTAATAGTTCCAAACATAGCATACCAGTAACGTTTTTAGATCAGTAGCAGTTCCAAATACAGCATATCAGTAATGTTTCCGGATCAATAACAGTTCCAAATACAGTATATCAGTAACAGTTCCAGGTACCGTATAAGAAAAACGTTTAGATAAATTGTAGTTGCATACATATTTTTATATCAGGTTTAAAGTATTTTGTAAAGTATAAACTTCTTGAATATAGAATATACAGAATATAAAATACGGTAGTTCAAATACTTAGTTAATTAAGACATATTTTAATTTTTGCTTTCGATTCTGAAGTTTATTAAACTACGAACATTTTTTGAGAGACTGGTATAATTTGAGATTCCAAGGTAAGCATTTTCTTGAAAGAACCAATAAAGTATAAAGCCTACAGTGAAGAAATTGGATTTTACATTGTATGTTTCCATCACTTGCATGACTTCTACGTACATGTAACTAGAAAGTATTCTCAACCAATACAATCAATAACTCAAATAATTAAAACAACTTCTTGGTAATGAGTATAAAATGTGTTCCACAATTTCCTCTCCCTTCTTCCCCAATAAACTACTCCTCACCTTTGTAACAGGCCATTAGATAATGACTAGTGTGTGCCAATTACATATAGAAATAATGTACAAAGATTCACGTGCTTAGGACAAATGTTCTCAACTTCTTTTCAAGCTTATGTTACTCATTATGTTTTGGAGGGCATAGCTGACGTCACCATATCTGCCAATCAGCAACAATCCCGACACGTCACAGTTAAGACTAACTAGGACCTACCAGCTGTACGTATTGCCTGTTGAGTGTTCATGGGCTGAACAGTTTGTTCGTGCCAGAAATACCAGAAATCCAACAATAGAACATTATTGCTAATAACATACACCCATTCTCACCCCCTTCTAGAAAAGAACGAAACGATTGAAAGGCCTTTTTTGTACTCATAATGATCACTATATTCAATTATCGCCTCCCACTAATTTTCGGAGTCTCTGTGGAGCTTTTGTTGATGAGACGATATTCTGTGCGAGTTTTCGAGCAGTCACATCCTCACCTAGTAGTAGATATAAGTGTCATTATCTCAGTATTCTCGACAGGAGCGATGGTGTGGCGGCAGTTTGGTTTTAGATGTGGCGGACGTCCCTCCGTCTTTCTTGATTGGATTATTCATGCACAATTGATCAAGAAAAGCAGTACGCACGAGCATTGCCTCTGTTTACTGCATCTAACAAATCTGCTTAGCCGAGGAGCATTGAATCCTTCAAACCATCCATTTGATCCGTTGATCCCATACCACAAGCAAAGCTAACAGAAGCTGTTCTAAAGACTGCTATTACTACCAAATTCTCACAATCTGCAGGACAAAAGCTTGAATAACATTCATTGTCAGAGGTTGCAGTTTGGGCAGACACTTAGAAAAAAAACTTACTGGATAAAGGGGATAAATTTTATATGTATAGATTGTCTTATTTTGTTCCACTACCAGAAAAAAAAGGAAAAATAAAGCTATTTTGAAATCAAGTGAAATAAAAGTAAACCATTTACCGCAAGACACAGATTTTGTGTTTTATAATAACTTAATAAACTACGGAGATTTAATCTACAACATGGCGAGTGCATGAAGGGCACATCGCTTTAGTTTGATTTCTCTAATGTACTATAAGAAGATTAGTTGGCGAAGATGAATCAGAAGTTTCAATGCTTGAATAGACCAAACTGAAATTTATATATCTATAGATCCTACAATCTAAACATTATAGTCTTAATTAATATCTATCTTTTATATAGCCACTAGTTATGACGAACTATGTTAAACTCTCTATATAGGCTTTAGATAGGCTTCATGTTTGGGAGTTTGTCATTGAATTCAGAGCATGTAGCTAAAAAATGCAAACCTCAGGAAGAATCTTACATCTTACTTACAGTCGTAGAAAATCCTACAGAATCCCTCTAACCTGATATAAATAAACTAAGAATTAAATATTTAAAAATATTGCTAACTTAAAGTTTTAATTCAATACAAATGAAAGTAATTACCATAAGTAACATACACATTTAGAGGAAAATTGAAAATCGATGAAAATAAAAAAAAACACAATAAAATATAAAAATATGTTCTTCCGTAGTAAAGTAAATAGACGTTTTTGAGAAGGAAAAGGTGGAGCTTATACCGGAAAATATAAACTTACATGCCATTCCCGAGTTTGATTCTTCAGGTACACCGGGGTCTATAAATGTGAGACAAAAACAAGAAAAACTTTGGTTTTGCAACTAATTATGTTATACTAACATTCAAAAGTGGTCAATCGCAATGGTGAGCACTATCGATAGCAAAACATATTATTGTTTGTTACTTTACACGCTATAAAATAAACGTTCAAACGTAGAAAAATGGAAACAATCTTGATACTGAACATTTTGTAATCTTCAGAAATATTTAGTCATTGTATGCAAAAAAAATAATATTAGAAAAATAACATTTAATGCCTTCGTTAATGTTTTGAAACATTTTAGTGTTGATGTAAAGCGTAAAGTGGATACAACAATAGTTCCTAAATACTTGTATTATTATGAAGAAACAGTTGAGTTGTGGGTGTTGGTACAAACTACATACAACGGCACTTTCTAAATACTTGTATTATTATGAAGCCAACACCCACTACTCAACTGTTTCACAAAGTGCTGTTGTATGTAGTTTTACATACTTGTATTAATATGGAGAAACAGTTGAGTAGTGGGTGTTGGCACAAAGTGCATACAACAGCACTTTTTAAGTACTTGTATAATATTGAGAAACAGTTGAGTAGTGGGTGTTGGTACAAAGTGCATACAATAGCGCTTTCTAAATACTTGTAGTAACATGTAGAAATAGTTTTGTATTTAAAGTGAGTACAAAGTGCATACAACTGCAGCATGTGTATTAATCAGTAGGAGAGTCCAAGTATAGAAATAAGGTGCTATGTTGTAAGTTTATTTTTACTAATACAGAAAGCACGATGAAAAAATTCTGCGACCATGCTGTATTGTTCTTTTCAATAATTCACAAAGTGTGTTGTAGGAATGTATTACAAGTGCTGTATACAAGTATGACAATGATGAAGCCTTGCATTCATAAAATATAGAAATCATGATGAAAGAACGTGTAATCATATTGTAGCCTTGCTTTTACTAACACCAAAAGCGGGTTGAAGAATATTTGATCATGTTGTAGCCTTGTGCAAGATTTAATTTAGCTGGTTATTCCAAGATGTGTATTAACTTCACATAAAACATCATAAATAAAACTGTAATCCAGCTGCTTCAATGTACATCAATACACTGAATTAAACCTATCTCAAGTTATAACACACACACTATTCGAACCTTGAATAACAATCAAACATTTATAGTAATGAAGCTCAATACACTTTAATAAAGGTGTAATCTACAAAAACTGTGTATGTCAAACAAACCTAATTTAACAACATTAAGATAACTGAAGATAATTTATGTTAAATTAACATCTCTAACACCAAGTCACTATAAATGGTTAACATACTGTGTTTTTGTTACTTGTTATGCATTTGCATTACATAATAAGATATTGTTTAAAATATATTTATTAAATAAACTTGTGAACATTTCATTATATGTGGCTTTTGAATATATTATCAGTGTGTGTGCTGTACCTATATTATGAAGATATTAGCAGTGTGCGCTGTATACACATTATAAAGATATTAGCAGGGTGTGCTGTATCTACATTATGAAGATATTAGCAGCGTGTGATATATCTACATTATAAAGATGCTAACAGTGTGTGATAAATCTACATTAGCAGTGTGTGCTGGATGTACAATGTACATTATGAAAACATCAAAACTGTTTAGTATGCCTACATATTAATACTGTGAAAATGAACTATAAGAAACTTTGTTCAGCAGATAGAAGAACAACAAGTAGGACGAGTGTAAGAAACTACGTCATTTATAATCAGATGCAATAAAGAAACTGATTTTGCATACTATAGGTTGAATAAATTGCGCGACACTACATGTACCAGGGCGTATAGTTTGAGCTTGAATTCTCCCTTTTTTATAAATATATTGTAAGCTCTTTAGGTGAGTTACTTATATGTTGGAATTGTTCTTAAGGTGTTAGGTATGAATACTTAACCCAAAAAATGGCATACATATATGTTATAGATCGTTCATGAAGTTATCAAGCAGAAAAAACATGTGCACTGCTGAATGATGCACTACACAATAAACCCTGCGATATCTAGTCAACAAACATATGTTTTTAGAATAGCTCTTCCTATATACTTGCCCTCCAGTGGCACAGCGGTATGTCTGCGGACTTACAACGCTAGAAACCGGGTTTCGATACCCGTGGTGTAGCTTTGTGCTTAATTAAAAGACAAACAATCCTATATACTCAGTTAAATATCGTAATAAATAACCTTCAGGAACTAAGAACTTGGGTTTCTTAGTAACCAACATACATCAAATATTTTGATATTGAGGCCACTAGTTACTAAAACTCGTAATAATTATGCACTTAACCTGGTGGATAACTAACGGTTAGTTAACAGTTTCTTACTTATACATCCAGATTGCTACAAACAGTTTCGTCATCTAGTCCATAAAAGTAACTGTTTTATAAAAATGACAAATTATCATCTCTTGAAAATATGTCAACAGAATTTAATAATGTAGAATAAATCTCAATTGTTTTTAACAGGATTAACAATCACAACAAAGAAGTAATATATTCATGACGTAACGTTAAAACCACCCAAATGATATTGTTGTTATACGTGTTTATATCTAACTACCAGTTAGAGGCTCAGATTTAAGAACAGGGCATGCAGGCACACATAGTAATATGGAAAGCTAATATCTTAAGGAACACTGTCAATACTCTATGCGTGTTAATGTGCCGTAATGTTATTGGCCAAATAACAAAGCATAATTAATGTTCTCTCTGTGTGATGTGTATCGGAGTTTAATTTGACGATCCTTGATAAGTATATAAATGGCCGAAAGAACTTCAAACTACGTTTGTCGTTAACCAGAAACAGACATCAAAAGTCTGAAAAAAACAACGTACTCTGATTAATCATAACATTGAGAAATTAGCTCCAGAATACCCTGTTACGAGATTCTCTTTTCGTTGTCATTAAGTAAAAGCACTTTATTTTTTCTTGAATCAAAATTTCTGAAGCGCGCTTTCTTATTATGTGATTATTGCTGAGTATATATTTGCACGAGGTTGTAGTAGTAATTCATTATACAAGGAAGGAAAAACCAGGCACACGGAGTGCCTCCATTTATGTAACAGGATGTGTATATATATATATATTCAGGCTTTATAGAATGCGTCCTGTTATGGTGAGAGGGTTGTCTCCTACATTCACCCCTCCATGATCGAGATACGATCCACTCAGTTTATGACGTAACGTCAGTATATAATTCACAGCTGTCGACGTCCCTCATACAATGTTTCTCTTCTCAGAATACATTCCATATTCTGGTCATCAGAAAATATAAAGATACAGAAATCGAGAGTGTCTTCTAATAATAAACTAGCCAAAGATCGTGATACTTCAATCCGTTCTAAACTTTCAAGCGCTTTCGTGACTTCATTCTATTATTGTGTTATAAAAATTACCTCTAGGCGGCAGCCAATGATTCTTTTACAGAGAATAATAGCTTTGATGCTTTTATATGTATATATTTTTTTATCGTCACTGATTTTTCATAAATAGTCGTGCATATTTTCACTAGTGGAGATTAACAGTGGCATATATTTTTCTTAAGCAATAAATTGTCAACCACCTTATACTAATTTAAAAAAATCACAATAGCATCTTATTACTATGTTAAAAATACGCAATACTCAAAATAACTTTCTCATCTGTTTTTGAAACATATGCAAACACTAAAAAATGGCAATTAATTGTTAGTATCAAAACGCAATGATACCGAAGCAATTACGATTCTAAACAGTTGACGGTTAGCCTCGAAAAATAGCGCTTTGATTCTACTGAAAAATATAATTCACATAAAACGCATGCACTGGTTTAAAAATAGATTTAAAACATTTCAAACGAAAATGATGTTGAATACGACTTAATAGATTTATTAGACCCGTTTTTCTTAGATTGTAATATATATATATATGTCCCCCAGTGGCACAGCGGTATGTCTACGAACTTCCAACGCTTGAATCCGGTGGGCACAGATAGCCCATTGTGTAGCCTTTGTATTTAATTATAAACTAAACAATATATATATATATATATATATATATTTGGTTGGATATGTGGAATTATGTTCATATATTTT